CACGCAAATCACAGAGGTGTCTTGAATGAGATTTTGCGTCTCACTTTGAGGTAGTCAACAAACAATAAAGACCAAAAAAAAAAGTAATAAAAATTAAGATCGAAATCCCCAAACCATGATAAACCGGGGTTACCAGATTACTAGGAGGTGATCCCTGCCTGATTGGAAGCGCCCATTTCGCTCGGCGGCCGCATGGTGGGGCGGCGGGCACGGCTCTCACCCGGGAGCGCGCAGTGCCCGTCCCGGCGGCGGCGCCCAGCAGATGGCTCCTTCCCCCCGCACAACGCTCGCTCGGCACCCAGCTCGCTTCCAGCCTCCCATTCCTCTCAGCCTTTGTTCCTCGCCTGAATTATTCCAGTGGCACGCTGGAAAGTCAGTAAAATGCAGTGCTTTTTAGTTTTCAGAGTGCGATGCACAAAGCATCCGTTTTCAGAGTGCGATAGTTTAGCGGGGATGTACAGTGCATTCGGTTAACAAATACTTATCACAGTACTACATGCATAAACAGAGCTGTATTTATTGGTCTAGAATCACATCTCAGTTCTGCTTGAGTAAATCTGAAATAGTTCAGCTGTAGCCGGTGGAGATACTACAGATGGGAATGACAGGGGAATTTGGCCCATTGTTAAAATATCTTCATGTAGAAACAATGTAGGAAAATTGAACTATGACCAGGTTCCTTCATTATGAGCTAAATTGACTCTAAATTGAACCCTCTTAAGTCAGTGAAGTTCCACAGGTGTGAAGGAAAGCACACAGAAGCCGGCCTTGCTTGAACTACTTGGTCCAAAAGGGACCATTTTGCATCTTACTAATAAAGGCAAGTTTCCTCACAATTAACATTCTTTACATATGTATATAAATATATAAAGAAAGAAAGAAAGAAAGAAAGAAAACATTGCAGACAGGCTTAGACCTCTAAGGCACCCTTTTCAAAGCTTCTTGACTTTGAAAACTTTGAAAGTTGAGACTGAATCAGACTTTGTGGTTCAATGATCGTTTCTTTAATAGGCTTAAACTGGAATTACAAACCTGAATAAACCAAAACACAGAGGAACACAGTTCTATAACATGTCCTAAAAGCAAATTTGGTTTTTAATCTCACTTAATGTCAGAAGTTTAGATCTTATTACATAACTGAACTTGATAACTCTGACTTAAGGCTACTGATTTTAGAAACAAGAAAAAAAAAAAAAAAGTATTAATTGGTGTGAAACCTTCAAAATATGAAGAATTTTAACTTGGAATTAAAAGAACTTTCTAAAATGCAGAGATTTATTTTGAATCATTGAACTTTAAGTATACAAGACCCAAGTTCCACGTGATTTCATACCAGTCCCTCTAAAGTTGCTGCCATTTCTGCTCATAGTTCTGGTCAGAATTTGGAAGGATGAATTAAAACATGAGGAAAAAAAAAAAAAAAAAAAAAGTTTCCTAAAAATGTGTTTCAAAAAAATTTACTAAGGTATATATGTCAGGGCAATGGGAAGGAATACTATTTCCTAATTGTTTCTCTCTACTCTGTTAATTTCAGGCTTACCCCTCTCAGCCATTCAACATAATTACAGCTGAGGTACTCCTCACCTTTTAGGTCTACTAAACCTTCACTGCCTCCAAAAGTTACACTTCTGGTTTACTTTCCCAGGATATACCAGCTGGCACTAAGGGAGAAATACGAAAGCACAGAATAAGACTGAAGAATTGCCAATATATTCTACATACTATTGGCTATTGAAAACTGATATCCTTTTCATTCTTCTTCCTCCATAATAACCATTTAATTCTTTCCTCTGGATTGAAGGAAGCTTATAAATTGAAAGAGCTACACTGTAAGCATGAGTTACTTCTGCTTTTGCCCCTCCTGGGACGAAGTTGTCACCTGCATCAGTAACCCTCCAGAACTATTTTTGGTATGCTCCACTGGGCTCAGTGCCTCCTGGGGGTTCCTCTGAACTTCACTGCACTGCCTTCCATGGGCTCCATGGCAGGCCCAGGCAAAACATGTTCAACACTGCTGTGTCTGCTGCCAGACAAATGTAGTCTACTCTAGGAACAGTGATCCAGCATAACTCACTTAACATTCTAAAACTACTTTTCATGATTCTGCTGTGACTTATCCAGATATTTACTATTTTCTGATCCATGATCTTGCTATTAATTGATGCTTGGTAAGGACATAAACTTTTTAATGAGAAAAACTGAGCTAGTAATGGTTTAGCTTGGGTCCTTCTTCCCTCTTTGATAACAAACACAGTTCTGGCACCCTTCCATTTCCAGAAAGCCATTTAACAAAAGTTGCTGCCCTTCTCAGAAAGCCTGACAGGAAAGGAATTTGGTGGAGGTCTCAGAAACTGAAGCTCACAAGTTGTTATTTAGACACATAAACAAGTGTCCTGGTCTTAAAAATAAAAATAAAATCTGCTACATGGTTGAATCTTTGGGCCTAGTGCAGGCTGTCAGTGCAAAGCACATACCAAGCTTTCAGGCAACGGATGTGCTCAGGTCACTTCCCACCTGCTTCACAGAGCAGCAATTAGCAGTACAGTGGCATTAGCAAGACAGCTTTACACCAGCTCTCAAAGTAACAACTTAAAGAAGCCTCGAAAGACCAACTAATTGTAAAATGCACAGGGGAAGCACTCAGCCTGACTTTTTGGAGGTAGACGCAAGGCTTTGCCTGCAGGCAGCAGGAGCCGTTGGGTGCATCCGCTGCCGTCCACCAGCCCTGCACCTCCCTGGCTCCTCGGCTGAGGGGAATCCTCCCACCCTCTGTGCTCGACCTTTGTGTTTCCTTTCTTGCTCAGGGATGGATGCTGCACGTCGGCGAGTGCCCTCTCATCCACATTTGCCGTAAACACCCAGAACACCTGTTTACTCTGACTCACCCACCCCTCACACAGACTCTCCCTTTTTTTGACAGCAGACCTCACTCAGGTAGTATGTACTGCTAATATCCTTTCAGAACCATGTAATAACATGCCTTCTATCCAATTCCTAACATCCTTCAATCAGCTCAGCCAGTGGGCTAACTGCTTACGCTTCTGTGATTTATATAAGTGCAATTAATTTAAACTGCATCACTCCGGTGTTATGCTGGTGAAAATGCCCCGAGAGGGAGTACCTCACTGGTGAATCAGACCCTTTACTTTTAACAAATATACAAAGGAACAGATCTCGAGCCAGTGAAAATCTGCATGGCTCCATTCATTTCAACACACAAACTTAAACCAGCTCAAAGTCTGAATCACAGCTCATGTAACAGACTATTTAGATACAGACTAATGCCTCACATCCTGAAATGCAATGCTTTCCCAGAGCTGGCGGGGGACGGGTACTTCTCAGATGGAAGAGCTGAGAGGGGACCGGTGCCACAAACACCCCTTTCAAAAACGTGTTGTAGATTTCTTCATTCCTGTACGGAGGAGGAAAGCAACAGCTTGTGTTCTGGCCAGCACTGCTTTCTGTGCTGTGAAGAGCTGCATTTCTTCCTCCACCCCAGCTATAAAGCAGGTAACTTGGGAGTCCCTTTCATTGCCACTTTCCCTTTCCTTCCCTAGTCTGGGTGTGTTCCCTGCAGCTTGGAAATACATGTGACACCTTTCACTGACACACACCAGAGCTAGACACTGAACAGCTGAATCTTTTTAATCAGTTCTTGAAAATGGCTAACTTTCCCTGCACTTGTTTTGGCATCCCAAAGATTAAGAAGTCATGCAGCTTGACAAAGCACTTTGCTCTTACGTGTCTTAACAGAACCAGAGAGAGATTTTTTTTTTTCATGTCTCTATTCCAACACCTGCTGCAAAAGAAAAAAAAAAAAAAAAAAAGGGCTGGGGTGGTCTCTGTGCAACACCCCTCCCAACAGGACAGAGCCCTAGCGGCACGCCGGCACGGCATACCAATATGTGCCCAGGCAGGTGGAGTTAAGACGCAAAGGGGGAAGAGAGGGGGGGAGGACAGAGCAGGACTCAGTCAAAGTGTGGTCTGTTAAAAATCCACCAGTGCTCAGCCGTCCACATTTTCAAAATGCAAATGTTTTAAAATTAAAAATCATATCTGTGACTAAATGGCTTCTCAAAATCAATCTAGATAACCAGAAAATTCTGTGGCACATTTGAGAGACTTTCATCCTAAATGAAATACATAACTCAGATTATACCTTCATAGGAATTCAAGAGGTCCTAAATATACTAATGGAGAATTACATTTAAGAGACATTTAAATTACCCAGTCTATAATTTTGGGGGTTTTGCTTATCTGTGCATCTTTTGACTGCTTTGGATAATTAGGAAAATTTCCTTGGCAATGCTCTAAGAGGATAGGCAAAAGAGTGACATAACTACTCCCAAAGAAGGAAAGGTCGGGGTTTTGCATTCTGCAGATTTTTAAAGTAAAAAATTAAAGTATCCATCATATGGACAGTCTGAAGCAGTATGCATGTGTGTAACATATAAAACCTATCACCCAGCTCTGAAATATGTTGCCTTTTCATGGGCTGCTCCCTCTGCTTTGACTCATTTGAAGTATCTTGCTGGCTTTTCTGCCTGGAAGGGCCAGGTTAGGGAAGCATGCTGCTAGTCTCCAGCATTTCCTGAACACAACTTTTCAAAGGCGGCTCCCAAACAGAGCGGCACACAGTCTGTTCAAAACCTTCCATTAGCTCTGCTGGCTAGTTTGTTATCTTGTAAGGTCCCCCCCTTCTGCCCTTAATGAACAGTTTGTTCCATTGTAATTCTTATATCAAGCATCTGGAAACCAGACAGATAAATTTTTACACACCACATAGATTTAAAAAAAAAAAAAAAAAAAAAAAAAAGTCTTTTAGTACACGTGACTTACCCAAGAACAAAAAAAAAAAAAAAAGGAGGGTCAGCTGAACCAGTAAACTGACCTTTTTAAAAAAATAAAATAAAATAAAATAATTATGAAAAAAAAAAAGAGAGAGAGAAACACTATGACCAACACGGTTTTCTAGACAGAAACTCTGAAAAGCAACATACACTTTGCAGCAGGATAATGTGCTCTGACAACAGACTAGCTCCTCTGTTCACAGCTGTCTCCAGCGGGAGGAGCTGAAACCTGAAGCAAAGCCTCCGAGCAGGGATTGGATCCGTCCTGCGAGGAGCCCTCCCAAAAAAACAGGCTGTTTGGAAAAGTGCTTGAGAACATCCAGAAGTGATTGGAGGAGCAGAAAACCCTTCCCCCCTGCACCTGACTTGTGGGTATTTACAGCACTTTTCAAGGCGCCTCTGCACTGCCACTACACAAGCAGAGTGCATGGACGGCGCGGGGCAGACAATGCGATAGGGACCGATGCACCAGCAGTGATAGTGTGCGTGCGTGCTGCACACCAGCTGGGCACCGTTACACGAATCCGAAAGGAGGCTCTGGAAGAAGGAGAAACCCTGCATTCAAAATGCCACGCTCCTTCCTGGTCAAGAAGCATTTCAATTCATCTAAGAAGCCAAATTACAGCGAACTGGACACTCATACAGGTAACAAAACGAGATCGATGGCCGCCGCTTTGCTTCTGAGGTTGTGTTTATGGTGTGGCGGTAAAGAGGAGGGGTGGGATTGCTTTTACAGGCTTTGGAGAATGGGTTAGTTCACTGCTAGCTCTTTTATCTTTTGCTTACAACGAGAGAGTTCTGAGAAATATGTCAGTGCTCCGCAGAATGAATCACAAAGTTTGCTCATCCACTTGAACTCAGTTATTATAAGAGGATTTGGAGTTTTCCTGTTCTACATCTGTTGGAAATGGAATTGAAACTTTTATGCAATTCCTTCAGGAAGTTTCACTGCTTCAGTGTATCAGGCTGCATAGGTTTAGAAAGAGCATGCTGCCTCGAAGAGACTCAAACTATAACTCGAACTATAATGCTGTCTCTACCCATCAGTATGTATGTATCAAGTAGTATTTCCTTAGTACTCCCTATATTCAGACAACCGTACTGAGTTTTTGATTTATGCATTTTTTTTAATCCCACAAATGTTAATTTTGCTGCCTTCTGAAGTACTTTTCAGTTCTCTTACCTTAAAATTTTCTTCTTTCTCCAGTGATTATATCCCCATACCTGTATGAAAGCTATCCAGTCCCTATCATACCACAGCCAGAGATCCTGAGCTCTGTAGCTTACAACCCCATTACTGTGTGGACTACAACCGGGCTGCTACCGTCTCCACTACCTAATGACCTCTCTCCACTTTCTGGATACCCTTCATCTTTGGGAAGAGTCAGCCCACCTCCACCTTCTGACACCTCCTCCAAAGATCACAGCGGTTCAGAAAGTCCCATTAGTGATGAAGAAGAGAGAATCCAGTCAAAGCTTTCAGACCCCCATGCAATCGAAGCTGAAAAGTTTCAGTGCAGTTTATGCAACAAGACCTATTCAACTTTCTCTGGGTTGGCCAAACATAAGCAGCTGCATTGTGATGCCCAGTCTAGGAAATCATTCAGCTGCAAGTACTGTGACAAGGAGTATGTCAGCCTGGGAGCGCTTAAGATGCACATCAGGACCCACACACTACCATGTGTCTGCAAGATCTGTGGCAAGGCTTTCTCCAGACCCTGGCTACTTCAAGGACACATCAGAACCCACACTGGTAAGAACAACCATTACAATTGCAGGCTGTTGTTGCTATATCATCAGAATGCCTTTCTGATTATTTTTTTTCCTACAGGTAGAAAAAACAGCAGTGTTTCTTGACTGACCTTGAAATGCATATGTGCAATTTCAAATATATCATTAAATGGGCAAATTCTTCCTTTTGGGGGCCTGAGTGAGAGGAAAGTGCAGCATGGCCTCATAACTGTGTGGCATATTCTGGCATAGATCAGCATCGCTCCTCTGGTAATCCCAGAGTTTAGCTTGTTTCCACTAGCTGAAGGTTTTGCTTTAAGAATTTTATGTTAACTTTCAGGCTTTGGAAAATGCTAACTTTAAGAAGGCTTCAGCTGACTCTGAAATAGCAAAACAGAAAGGCAATGCATTGAGTCTAATCATTGACTCCTTAAGCAAACGGCAAGTTTTGCATGCGCTATCTCAAGTCCTTACGAATTAGAAACACATCATCACCAAAGAATTTTTTTTGTATTGAGGCAAAAACATGATCTTCAGTATAACACTGGGTACAATGTAATGTCTGTACAGCTGTTTGCTGCTTTTCAGTCAAAGCCTGGTTCCAAGTTATTCACACAGAGCTAAGTAGAAAAGACGCCATGAAAATATTTGAAAATGCTGGGAGGAGCCCAGCCTAGAAATACTGCCTGCACCTGCAGATACAGAAGGTGTCAGCAGCTTGTCTTTGGAGACTGTGCTTAGCAGTATATTTTGAAAGCCTGAGTTCTGCAAGTACAGTCAGCAGTGCTGAAAGCTGCTGTATCTGTGGCCTGATTTTTTATTACACACGGTTTTTATTATAACAAATCATTTCTGTCTGCTTGTTTCTTAGGATAAAAGTGAGTTTTTTCTGTACTAAACGTACTTCTTTTTTAAAGCTTTATTTGTATTTTTACTTAATGTTTCCTTTTTAGGAGAGAAGCCGTTTTCCTGTCCTCACTGCAACAGGGCTTTTGCAGACAGATCCAATCTGAGGGCTCATCTGCAGACCCACTCGGATGTGAAGAAATACCAGTGCAAAAATTGCTCCAAAACTTTCTCCAGAATGTCTCTTCTGCACAAACACGAGGAATCTGGCTGCTGTGTAGCACACTGAGTCATGCAGTCAATGTTTACCTGGACTCAATGCATTTCTCCACTCCTGTTTCAAATGATAAGTGGAAATCCAAAGGCATTTTCTTTTCTACTTTTCAGCCAAAAACTAAATAAAAAAATAAAACACCAAAAAAAAAACACTCATTAAAAACAAACAAACAAAAAAAAAAAAAACAAGCAAATAAACAAAATAGTGGGAGAACTTATAATGTCAGTAGAAATGAGCTTTAAGTAGTTCTGTTCAGTCACACATTCACATTCTTAAGTGTGAACTCTGAAATATGGGGAAAGACACGATGCATGACATTTCAAGTAGATCTAAAGGAAAAAGCATTATCAGCTTTCTTTAGAGATGAAGCCAAATGTATGTAGTCTTTTCTTGCTTAGAAAAGGCTGCAAAGTTACTAATACATTCCTGCCAAGCCATTTCAACCAAAGAAACAGTATTTTAAGTGGAACTTTTGATAAAAATACTACCCAAGTGAATCTTACTAGACACCATTTATCTCAGGTGCCTTAAAAAGTATTCCAAGTTTACCTTAGTAAATGTTTAATATTATTCATTGCTGTGTTTTTTTTGTTTTTTTTTTTTTTATTATTTTATTTTATTAAAAGCCAAGGCCGTCATTAATGATCTGAAATGCTTTAAAACTGCATAATTAAGAGAGGAAAAAGAAAACATGTAAGAGAATGTATGAAAAATTGAAAGCCACAAATTAATTGCATGTGCCTTTTAAAAAAATACTGTAGCTTCAAACATTCCTGGTGCATGCCATCTTTGAATATGGAATAGTTCCTCTAAACTTTAATCTTTTTTAAAAACGGGAATAAGTGCAAGAGAGGGGGCTCATGGGAGTTTGACAATTATTTTTTTAAATGCACAAAGGAAATGCAATATTTTCAGCATTACCCCTCCAAGTGCCTTTTTTATTGATGATTTTGTAAAGTATGTGGACATAATGTAAATATTTTTATTTTTATATGACCGAATGTGTTATGAATGAAAGTGAATTGTTGCCTATAGCAGCATCTATAGATAACTTGAAGAAAGTGTGAAGTGAAATTTATGTGTTTTTTTTTTTCTAGCCACTTTTTTACAATAAACATTTTTAAATAAGATTTCTGCTGTTTGTTCTGATTAAATAAAGGGACCATGTCTGGATTAACAAGGGTATGGAATACAGAAAAATGCAAGTGTCTCTACATGACAAAATGAAGATGAAAGTGAATTCTTAATTCACAACTTCAGAAAAAATATATATATTCATTTGTATTTTTCAAACGTTTAGAACAGTACAGAATATATTTATGGAATCACTACTTTAAAACACTTCTACCTTTTTGTTACTTATAACGGTATGACCATATTGTGAAACATATTTTATCAAAAGTATTATAAAAAAAAACTTGCATTTTAAAGAATTTAAACAGTTTAAAGAATGCTATTTGAGCATTACAATTATTACTATTATTACAATACTTTTCCTGAGATACTAACATTAGGAAATTTGGGCCTTATTAAAAGTTCATTAAAGTAATCAGAACCTTACAGGATTTCAGCAGCATTTGCATGCTTCTTTAAAGTCGTCTTTAAGTCACAATATGATATTTATATGGTCATTTTGGAAATAGTAAAGTTATTTTGCTAAAGTATCTTACATATCAGAACTGTCAAGTGAATGTATTATGATTGTATAACAGCTAGTATATCACAGAAAATAATTATTCAGTAATAAAAATCAGAAATATTTTTATTCAGAGGATTTTACTAAGGACTCCAAGTTCTAAATAACAAAAGCATTACAGCTTCTGCAAATCATGTCTCATTATTACAGACTAGTGTAAAACAACAGTATTTTCAACTTTTAACCATACACATAGCTAGAAAACAAATAAACACTAGTTGGCGTCCAATCTCAATAGCAGTATGTCTACACTATGTTACTAGGAGAAGCAAAAGATAACAAAACCAGAATTCCAACCAATGAATGAGAAGATTACAGTAGGACATACACAAGTTGCAGATTTCTTTAAAAAAGTACATTTAAAAAATATAAATAAATAAAAATAAATAAAAATAAAGTTACGGATGATGCCTGTATTGAGTCGTCTCCTGTGGAGACCCTCTAAGGAGTGCATCTGCAGGACTGCATTGGAAGAACTTAGGCAATAAGTTCATGACAGAAGTTTTGCAACTTTTTTTCCATGGGAAACACAGTACTGAAAAAAAAATCTCAAATGAAGCTTTTCATATTCTCCAAGCATATTTTGATGAAATCTCAGTGTTATAAGAACAATTCTGTAGGAGTTACTATTTTATTTTATTGTTATTTTTTTCAGGAAATAACTAGGATTTCAAGAAAATAGTATTAGTGGGAATTTGCAAGGTAACTTTCAAAA